GATGGCCATGTGTGACAGTGTCACTGAATTTTGAAGTTGTTTTCTGCCACCTTGGGAAATGTGAATTTGTTAAAAATTTAGCATTTTGAGCCTCATCTAGATGATTACAAGGCTTTTGTGTATTTTTTATGAACTAATACATGAAAGGCTAAAAATACATTGGATTTATACCAAGTTCAGACTTGAATTGGATTAAGAAAAAATGAAATTCCTATCAGGAAATATTCCCAAACCAGAAATTTGGGCAGAAACCACTTGTGAATCCAACAGAAATGCCTGTGAATCTAGCCAATTTAACCCATTTGTATGGCCTTTTCACAATTGCTTCCATGGCAAACTAGTTGGGAAAAGAACTACTTTTTTCTCTGAAATATAGCGACTCTGAAGTCTGCCTCTAATATATAATTTCAGTATGTGTAAAATATTGTAGCTCTAATGTCATGTTTTTTATTTATTGAAGTAATAGCAGTTCACAAGCATGTCATTTCATAACATTTTAACTTCCGCAGTACTTAGTACCACACTCCCTCCAAAATATCCTGCACAACAAGTCAGCCCAAAACGTTTTGTTGGAGATTGCATCATTGCGGTCCTGTCTGACTGCATTATTACGTGTTCAGTTGCCTGTAATGTAGAGACAAATGTTATTGTTGCTGCTTCTAGGGTAAAATTAGAGGTTTGGAGAAACACATGCACAGGACTTTGAAAATGAGTTAGTGGCTCATAAATGGCTCTTCATGGTTGGGATATGGTGGAGTTCACTGGTTAAAAAACTGGAATTGTCACTTTTATTACTTTACTAGACCACAGCTTGAAAAATACTGCTGCATGTCAGAGAGTGGATATTTTCTTCACTAGGTGGTCAATTCTCACCTGCAACTTTTGAAAATCACCCATGAAAGAATGGTGTTCATCTGCAATTTTAGCAAAACTGTTGTTCCAGATTGACTCTAAAATCTATCAGCTGCAGTTGCTTATTATAGATTTATCATTTAGGGTTTTACAGCTTGATAGTACAGACTGTACAGTTTTATTACCATTCAAGATTTAGTTTTTATTAGCTATAATTTATTATACAGGAATTGTGCAGGCTTATTTCTTTGAAAACATTTGGCATAATATTTAATATGAGAATTTTGAAACTGGCAGGCAGAAATGTGCCATTTCATAAAACTTTAGAAGCCCATGGTTGAGGAGTGAGGACATTTTACCAATTTATTTAGTTTTGATGGATCTTGACTTGTTACTTCTGGGAAAATTGGGAAAAGTTTATATATTAACCTGCAATTTTGAGAATTTCCATATAATAATTATTTTTGAATTTTATAATAAATGAATTGTATTTAAATAATATATATAAATAATTATTTTGAATATATTGGAATTATTTGCCTGATATTCCAGATTTGTATTGTGCCAACTTTCAATAGAAAGTATCTACTGTATTTTAGAAACAAAATTAGACCACAACTGCTGGTGTGATTGAAGCTTTTTGGTTATTTTGTGGTAAATGGAGCCAAATATCATTGTTGAAATATTGTCATCCTGGGACTGGACAATTGAGCAAAAGTCACTGGCAAATTAGAAAGATAAGTCCACCCGTGCATTTACCCTATGCTTAATTTGCATTGAAAAAAGAAGGCACATTTTTGTCTACAATTTCAGAAAATTGTCAAAAAAGGTCATTTTTTTCCTGCAATTATCAGCAAGAATTTTGAGCAGTAATCCAGGTTGTGCTCCTAAATCAAAAAATTATTTTGAAGTGGATTTGAAATCTTTTGCAACTCTTAGAGTTAATCTGTAATATTGGGCAGAATTTACCAAGACTTTGTGCATATTTTTTGAAAATGAAAGTGTGCTGTTTTTCTTAATTATTACCAGAGTAATTGGGCTGAGTTCATAGGAGCAGATGAAATGGTCTATGAGCTCAGGACTTTGCGATCATAGTGGCAAGCCATAGATTTTTTAGAATCAGTTCATTTTTAATTTCCTCATTTACTCAAGATTTAAGCCTATATTTTATACAAGATAATGATGGTATCCACGATATATTACTGTTCTACTGATAGGACTCAAAAATGAACTTGAGGAAGAGCCTAATAAAATCTCTCCTGCCACTATGGACCTTTTGTCTCATTCATGGGCATCATCTGAACTATCCCACAGTTTGGTCCAAAGCCTATATTCATATAAGTCTATTTTTATTTTCTTCAAAATATTGTGGCTTGTTGATATTTGATCAGAAAATATGCAACTGTTCACTAAAATTTGTCCACTCCTATTGAGTATCATTTCCTAGCAAATTTCTTGCATGCAAAAGGTTTCTGTTGACATATTGGTTGTTATGGTCATGCAAGGTAGCATTGAAACTACAATGGTACAACATGAATAGTATAGGATCACATGATAAATTGTATATACATGAATGAAAATATTTTTGGGACTTACTGGGATATNATGCTGGTATCCATGAATGGACCATGATACTTTACTGGTCTACTTATAGGCTGTCTCTTATACACATCTAGATGTGTATAAGAGACAGCCTGTACATTAACCTGCAGCTCTCATACCTGTACATTAACCTGCAGCTCTCATACCTGTACGTTACCCTGCCGCTCACTAACCTGTTTGTCAACTTTATGGTGCAGTATAGGCCTACCCGCCGCCGCTACGGTGCAGTATGAAGAAGATATTATTGTAGCAATCACTCACCGTCCTTCACTAAGTTGTAATATGGCTTTGCTGAGCATGTGCAGGCTCCTGTTGATGCTGCCACCCTCCATGCGTTGGCTGCCAGAGGTTCCTGCATGCCCGTGTCTTGTTACTGCAAAAGCAATTCGTGCTGCTTCTTAATTTTGATTGCCATCTTTTTTGCTCATTTCGATGACTTCCTCCAAGTCATTGTTCATCATTTTCTGTTGACTCGATTATCTGCACATACAGCCAACTAAATAAGCATTGTAAGAAAACTATACCTTACATGAAATACCTTTTATATACCTTTTTATAACTTTTAAATTCAGCTGCTATTATATACATAAGCTACCAGGCTGGATTTATTAAAAAACATAACTATAATTTCAATGAGGGCATACAGTGTGGAAAACATCCACTATGCAAGCCTCAACCTGGTTTTTGAAGCCACAAGTTAGTACATTTTGCAGCAATGGAAAAATTCTCTGATACAAGTTAGCTTTAGAGCTTTGAATTTGTCTTTCAAACCAGACATTATACATTGAATCTCATTATATCCCAGGAAGTCCCAAAAATATTTTCATTCATGTATATACAATTTATCATGTGATCCTATACTATTCATGTTGTACCATTGTAGTTTCAATGCTACCTTGCATGACCATAACAACCAATATGTCAACAGAAACCTTTTGCATGCAAGAAATTTGCTAGGAAATGATACTCAATAGGAGTGGACAAATTTTAGTGGACAGTTGCATATTTTCTGATCAAATATCAACAAGCCACAATATTTTGAAGAAAATAAAAATAGATGTATATGAATATAGGCTTTGGACCAAACTGTGGGATAGTTCAGACAATGCCCATGAATGAGACAAAAGGTCCATAGTGGCAGGAGAGATTTTTTTAGGCTCTTCCTCAAGATCATTTTTGAGTCCTGTCAGTAGAACAGTAATATATCGTGGATACCATCATTATCTTGTATAAAATATAGGTTTAAATCTTGAGTAAATGAGGAAATTAAAAATGAACTGATTCTAAAAAATCTATGGCTTGCCACTATGATCTAAGTCCTGAGCTCATAGACCATTTCATCTGCTCCTATGAACTCACCCTAATTACTCTGGTAATAATTAAGAAAAACAGCACACTTTCATTTTCAAAAAATATGCACAAAGTCTTGGTAAATTCTGCCCAATATTACAGATTAACTCTAAGAGTTGCAAAAGATTTCAAATCCACTTCAAAATAATTTTTTGATTTAGGAGCACAACCTGGATTACTGCTCAGAATTCTTGCTGATAATTGCAGGAAAAAATGACCTTTTTTGACAATTTTCTGGAATTGTAGACAAAAATGTGCCTTCTTTTTTCAATGCAAATTAAGCATAGGGTAAATGCACGGGTGGACTTATCTTTCTAATTTGCCAGTGACTTTTGCTCAATTGTCCAGTCCCAGGATGACAATATTTCAACAATGATATTTGGCTCCATTTACCACAAAATAACCAAAAAGCTTCAATCACACCAGCAGTTGTGGTCTAGTTTTGTTTCTAAAATAGATACTTTCTATTGAAAGTTGGCACAATACAAATCTGGAATATCAGGC